CCCCCGCGGAATAAAGGCCTCTCGAGCACAAAAAAGTTTGTCTTTTGCTTGTTTGAAGATATGGGTTCTGTCTAAAACCCGCGTTTATTCCACTTTGTTTGCTCTCCCTTGGTCTAATGTATAGTGTTTCAAGCTAAGAAAAAGTCCTCTCCTTTTATGTTTGGGTTACAGATAAAAGATGGCCGGAGGAGGCGGCGGTGGAGCACCACCGGCGGCAAAGGACGACCCTTTACCACATCCGCCCAAGGAACAGCTTCCCAACATCTCTTACTGCATCACCAGTCCACCACCATGGCGTGAGTTCTTTTTTTTTTTCCCCTCCTCTCCCTGTTTCATATCCTCTGCTTCTTTATTTTCCCCTGTTAGTTCCCTCAAACTTTTCTTCTAGATTGTTATTTAGGTTTTGGGTATATCCAAAGCTTGAAACTTGTAAACCCATCTCGAAAATGATTCCGAGTGTTTAATTCTGTCTTTGCTTTTGTGACTCGGTCATAATTTCCATGCATTTTGGTTACACGACTGTTGTTTAGGCGCACAGGGTATATCCAAAGTTAGGAGCTTTCTCTTCTATCGAATCCGAACTTATTTACAAATCTCAAAGAGGTCCACTATGCTTTTGCTGAAAGTTGCTCTGATTTTTGGCATCAGTCCTCGCCATAGATTCCTTACCTTTTCTTTTTGTTGGAAGGTGGGGATTGATTCTCTGCTTCTTTTTCATCAAGAATAATTGCAGGCACAGTGAGAAATATCCAGTTGCTTTAGACCAATCTAAACTTTTATTGTCTGTTAATTAACCAGTGATCGATTCCTTCTCATGGGTTCAGGAAACATCTTTGGTTTATATTGTCCTAAACCATAATCTAATGATGCATGATTCTGGTTTTATGATAGGGTTTTGAGTAACATCTACTGTTGCAAAATATGGAACCTGTTTGTCATGAGGATCCACCCTTATTTTGTTACAGCTGAAGCTATTTTACTTGGGTTTCAACACTATCTCGTGATGCTCGGGACAACGGTTCTTATTCCCTCGGCTCTCGTTCCTCAAATGGGAGGTGGAAATGTAAGACTCACCGAAGGAATATTGACACGAACCATAGTTTTTCTGTATCTATTGATCTTAGGTTATGTGAAAGCAAGCATCTTTCTGATTCTGGCAGGAAGAGAAGGGTAAGGTGATCCAGACAATACTGTTTGTTGCTGGATTGAACACCTTGCTTCAGACGCTGTTTGGAACAAGATTACCTGCTGTCATTGGGGCATCCTATACGTTTGTCCCGACTACAATCTCAATCATGCTTTCTGGGAGATTCAATGACACTGCAGATCCAGTCGATGTTTGTAACTCGAACCTGTTACCCGTTAAAATTTTCGTCAATCTTTTTTCTTTTTGCGAATTCTAATATTTAGCTTGAAGGTAGTAGTTGTAGTAATTGACTCTGAAATCGTGGTTATGATGTTGTTTCAGCGATTTAAAAGGATCATGCGGGCAACACAAGGTGCACTTATCGTTGCTTCTACTCTTCAAATGATCCTCGGCTTCAGTGGTCTTTGGCGTAATGTTGTGAGGTCAGTCTATGAGCTGCAATACGTAACTTTTTTTCATTTGAATATCGTATTATCGTGTGCTATTAATTCATAACCTCTCAGTGTGGTAATTTGTTGATGATTACATTTGATTCTACTCTCTGTTGTGAATTCCTGTACCATTTGTCCTTAAGGCTCGGTATAAGATTTGTGAGTTCAAATATTTTCGGGTCATCTTCAGGAATAAATGTTGCTTGAAGTTTCTTGTTGTTTCAGGTTCTTAAGTCCGCTTTCGGCTGTTCCTTTGGTTTCCTTGGTTGGTTTTGGGCTGTATGAGTTAGGCTTCCCTGGTGTAAGTAGCCTTCTTGTTCCATAAAACAAATCCTAAAGTAGTATTCGCCTCTTTGAAATCTTAAGTCTTTCCTCTTAACCGTCAGATTGCCAAATGTGTTGAGATTGGGCTGCCGGAGCTTATCATTCTGGTATTTTTCTCACAGGTAAAATCTTTTCGTAGAAAGTTCATCTGTTCTCGTTCTCATGAATGTATCCTTGTATGTTACATTGGTTGCTAATTCTGGCAGTACATGCCCCATCTCCTGAAAGGAGAAAATCATGTGTATGATCGTTTTGCCGTCCTATTTTCTGTGGCTGTGGTGTGGCTTTATGCCTACGTCCTCACGATCGGCGGGGCTTATAATGGCGCTGGACTGAAGACTCAGACCAGCTGTCGAACTGACCGTGCTGGCCTTATAGGTGCTGCTCCATGGTATGGTTGTTCTCGTAACATGGTACTGAATCGTTGGCACAAAGGAAAAAAAATGGGGCCGGCTTTTTTTTATAACAAATTTCTTGGTACAGCAAGAATAAAGAATCAGAAACTTTTGAGGTTTTGACCTGTTGTATCGCTGCCTTTTGCGATAGCGATTGTGGGCGTTTTCAGTGCGTTTGCTGGTGTAATTGATGTTAAATCTTCATTTTTATTGTTGTATACATAATTTCATGCCATGAGTTGCAGGATAAGGGTTCCATGGCCTTTCCAGTGGGGAGCGCCATTGTTTGATGCTGGTGAAGCCTTTGCCATGATGATGGCTTCTTTTGTTGCCCTTGTCGAGGTACTCAATACCAAATCCCATGGGCAACTGAGATTTCTCCTTCTATGATATATCTGATTCTCTCTCTTTGGTTTAACTGTACTTCATAAACAAAAACAGTCCACAGGGGCTTTTATCATTGTCTCTAGATATGCAAGTGCCACTATGATGCCGCCTTCTGTTCTCAGCCGCGGTGCCGGTTGGCAGGTGAACTCTCATACTATTAATCATCTGAATACCTTTCTAATCTTGAGATTTATCATCCAATAAACAAACCTTGCATGTTTATATTTATATTTTACTGACAAATTAGATCTTGTGCCTTTTTCCAATGATGTTTTGGTCCAGGGAATTGCCATTCTGATTTCTGGGCTGTTTGGTACTGGCACTGGATCCTCTGTTGCTGTGTAAGACTTTGTTTCCTCCTGTTCCTTTACGTGTATAAAAAAAATTCACATGGGTCGCTTGAAAATCGGAGTGATATCTTTTTAGGGAGAATGCCGGTCTTTTGGCTCTTACAAAAGTCGGTAGCCGGAGGGTTGTCCAAATATCAGCAGTCTTTATGATTTTCTTCTCCATTCTTGGTAAGCTCTGTCTCGACGAATTTAAGTGAAGGTTTTGTATCTTCCTCTGATGTACCTCTCGATGCATAACAATGCAGGGAAGTTTGGGGCTGTTTTCGCGTCGATACCTGCTCCAGTTGTTGCTGCCTTATACTGCCTCTTTTTTGCTTATGTGGGTATGTCCATTTCGTTTCAAAACCCGAGCTTTTCGCCCCTTTTTCCCCCCCCTCATAAAGTAGCCAGTAGAGAGAATCACGTTCATCATTCTCGTAATCCCGATGTTCTTTTTACGTTTTAATTATCGATGCAGGCGCTGGAGGACTGAGCTTGCTACAGTACTGCAACCTGAATAGCTTCAGGACAGTGTTCATCTTGGGCTTCTCAATCTTCTTAGGCTTGTCAGTGCCACAGTACTTCAACGAGTACACTTCTGTCAACGGTTACGGCCCTGTCCACACCAAAGCAAGATGGGTAAGAATTGTATCTCCTCGCCCTCGCCCCCTCGGGTTTCTCGGTCCTACTGACTATCGGTCTCGGGTTTCTGAGCAAAAACGCCGGCTCTGGGTTTGTGCAGTTCAACGACATGGTCAACGTGCCTTTCTCGTCAGAGGCGTTTGTGGGAGGATGCGTGGCGTATTTCTTGGACACGACAGTGTACAAGAAAGACGGGTCGATCAGGAAAGACAGAGGGAAGCACTGGTGGGACAGATTCTGGACCTTCAAAGGCGACAGCCGGACTGAAGAGTTCTACTCTCTTCCTTTCAATCTCAAGAAGTACTTCCCTTCTGTCTGATCCCTTTGTCGCAACTCGCAAGTGTGTTCCTGTCTTTCTTCTGTATAAATGTGCTCTGGCCAGACAAATGAGGATGGAATAAAGAACATTGTGTAAGTTTAGCTCAAAGCATAATTATATATTCTTAATATTAAAGATTAATAAAAAAAGAGAAATATTCAGGTTTTAAAATTTCATTTTAAATGGATATAACTCAGAAAAAATCTCCTAGTTTTTAAATTTCTTAAAAATGTTAAACCATAGAGTAACATTGTTTTAGTTAAAAAAAGATATTTTCATGTTTGTATTATTTAAAATGACATGCACTAGAACTTTGGAAAACAAAAAAATTTTAAATCAATCATTTTTTTTTAGGAAAACATATCCATGTAACATGTGGATATAGGAAAACCGGATACGCATTACGAGGGGGTTTTAACCCTAATAACCCACTTGGGTCGCAGCAATTTCAGGGTACACCACCGAAAAAAAAAAAAAAATTTGCGACTTTATTACGACTAATATATAACTAATATACAACTAAAATAAGAGTAGTTTATTAGTCGTAATAAGTTGTATATTAGTTATATATTAGTCGTAATAAGGTCGCAAATTTTTTTTTTTTTTTCGGTGGTGTACACTGAAATTGCTGCGACCCAAGTGGGTTATTTGAGTAATATTCCCCATTACGAGAACCCAATTTCTGGATTAGGGTTCATATCCCGAATGATGAGAACCCGCACCTATGGGTACCATCTTCGGAGGGATTAAGATTCAGCCCAATGCTCGAGTATCCGGATGACCTAGATCCAGCTACAGGCTCCGAATCTCGGAACCCAGAAGATTCGGCCGAATACCCGAATTCGAAACCCTAGTTGTTGGATTGGATCTGTCCGAACCCAACGACTGGTGCCATTTTTATTCACTTGTAAGCAAACTGATGAATTTTCAATCATATGTAAGTGTTCCGAATCGTTGGATGAATTCTCCATCACATTGTTACATTGCAATCCACAGGCCGCAGTACCCGGCTGCGCTGCAGTGTCTTCGCCTACACGTCATGGCATCGACGCCACAATCTTCGTCGCCTAAACACCGATGGCTGCTTAGTGCGTCACGGACATGGCAAGCGCTCTCCACCTGCTGCCCCGAGGCTGTTCCTAAGGCTGGACAGACTTGCAACGACATGGCGCTTACCCGTCGTCCTCCCCATGTTTCACCCTGCAAAACACGGAGATTACAATTCCAAAGTCTAGAGACCAGGGCAATCAAGTTGGATTGGGAAATATTTATGCTATAGTCGAATCTTTATCCGTAGGTCTCAAGGTATCTGTACTCATATTTGAAAGTTTCGGATTCCGAATTATGAGTACCTGACAAAATGTTTGGGTATATGCGTGTATACGAACCCGGTAATCATTCTGTTGTACGGCTAATAAAAACACTGTCCCCTACCCGTGAAAGGCCAGTGCCCAAAAGTTGGGTATCAAAGGGTCGGGTACCTGCGGGTATACCCAATTTTTGGGTCTTTATGCCCACCTCAAGGGCTTAACACTGAACAGTTGTTCCCTTTGATCAATAAGTTCAAGCATTAGCTTCGTTTTCGGTTTCAGAAGCCTAAAGCCTCATCTATCAATCAAAGAATTGTGTCGGTGTATTTGGTATCTGTTAATGCATTCTCGGAGTACAGTGCACGGAAAGAGTCTTACGCAATACAGCCAGCGATAAGAACTTGTACTTCTTTAGAATGTCGGTTTGTGTTTCAATTTTTTTTTTCGTGGGCATAAATGTCGATGCAAGGAATCAAAAGAATGGAAACGATACCTTTGAAAAAGTCCAGTTTGCTGATAGATAACTTTCCGGTAGCCTCTCATGCCAGGAGCTCGAAATCTGTATGGGATGGCCCTCAGTTGTAAATACGTAATTCTTCTTGGCCATGAAAGAATCGTCGAACAGGAGGTATAAATATTTGCACCTACAAAGATGTTGAAAACGATCAAGATGATGTAATGATCTCCCGTCTACACAATTAACGTCCAGCGGAAACAATAGGAGAAAGGAACACAAATCTCACGTCTCGGCGAGAAAGAAACTGTGCTGATGATCTTCCAGTTGCATGGTTGTAACGTCTTTAACACTAGCGAATCCACCTTCCACTTTTGTATAAAGATTAAGGGATTTTACAATCAGTTCTCCAACTTCTATGTACCATGGATCTGCAAATGGATGGGAAAAAAGAGGGATGAAACTGAAACTAATTGTCGATGGATATGGATTTGATATAAAACATTCGAGGGTAAGAGAAAAAACAAAACCTTTGGTAGCTTGGTACAGGTAGAAAGTGGATTCTGCAAATTCGGGACGCAGCGGATAATATTTCTCGGTTGGGTGTATCATTTGATGATCCAACAGATACCTGAACATGAATTTATTCCCGGGTTCCCGTTAGTACAGACAGCAAAATAGGAACAGAAGCATAGACCTCAGATAAGAAGTTTGACAAGAAAAGACATCTCGATGGATACCTCTCGGGCAATACACCAAACCTCTCCCATACATGGAAAAACTCACGGTGGGTTGAATTAGCAGCTGTGACGTCCCCGGCGAGAACCTAATCATAAGAACACAAGAAGGGATTTATTTTAAATGATTTGTTGTTAAAGAATTTGTCAAAAACCGATTTATTTTACCTGTAGGCCAGGCCAAAACGCCTGAAGGCTTGTGAGCTGCCAGTACGTTGCTTTCCCAGTCCACATATTGGCTTCATGGTACCTAAACTGGGAAGATAAGCACACTACTACGTCTAGCAATTTTTCCAATTTTAACACAGTAAAAGTCCGGAACTATAACTCGGAAATCTTAAATCGCGACTAGTATATTACCAAGGACCATGTCTGAAATATTTCTGAACTGCGAGGTACGCGGTGTGGAACATTCTCCAGTAGTCTTCTTTTCCGAAAAGGAGATAGGCCTTGAAGAGGTACTCATAGAAAGAATCGACCCCTGAAAAAGAGTAAATGAAAATACACGTCAGGATGAGAGAACACGATAGGAACATGCTTATTCCGAATGCACAAAAAAAGGTTACGTGTGCTTAAGCAGGCCAAAAAACACTCTGAAAATTACAAAAATACCAGCACCAATGCCGGAAGAGTACTCTATCCACTCCCCGGTGACCACATCCAGTGTTGTTCCAAGTAGGTTTAACGAGCTCCGCATGCTCCATAGCTTGCGAAGGGCTCGTAGTGCAGCTGACTCAAATCTGGGGTCACCAGTGAGCCTTGACAGTGCTCCCATTTCAAGAATAAGAGAACCTAAGGGGCAAAATTCACATCAATAAATTACGGGACCGCATTTGGAAACGTCTCCCAAAAAGGAAGAAATGATCCCATTTCAAGAGCAAGACAACTTTAAAGGTAAAACGCATATCGATAATTCAGGAATATATATATATATATATATACCACATCCAGAAGTGCTTGTTTCGGTTGTTTCTTTCTCCATGACTCCATTCTACCCAAAAAAACCATATTTGGAATTAAGAATCTATAAGCCAGGAGATCAGCAGAGCAAATGAAAACAATTTTGACAAATAAGGCAAACTAAAATTCTTATTTACGTCGGACAAAACATGATTTTCCATTAAGCGAAATTATTTTGGGTGCTTTATTATCCATTCCGGCAATCATGTTCGAATTAATACCTTCAAATTAATCCAAGCGTACGGTAATCCTGTCGGTGTATCAAAAGCAAGTAGAAAGCGCCTTCCTAAGTCTTCGGCTAATCTGAGAAGTTGATTGTCATAAGATCCTTGGATCAACCTATTAGTTGGATCAATTGCAAGAAGATGAGCAGATATCAGTCCTCCGAGAACTCTTATATTGCACTACAGATCAGAAGCAAACAGAAAGCACCGGTTAGAAACGTCAAATTCAATTAGATTTGTGTACGAAACTTGGAGATCCATCCGCATTATTTAAAGCAATCTTTAGGCTTTAGGGAAATTTGTCTACAACATTCAAGTGCTCATCAGAAGAAATCAGCTGGACCAACATTCTGATATTAAAGAGCATCCAAATTAAGCTTTGCTGAAAATGATGGAGGATTACTTTTTACCTCAAAAAGGTTGACTCGCGCATCAACATCGAAGGTTAAATTTTCTGAAAGCCAGAGAACTCCCCTTTCAAATTCTGTACGGTTCCCCAATATAGCAAGGCTGAGAAAAAGGAGAATCATTTCAAATTGGCAACGGGAAACCTCCATGGAATCATTTTGGCATAACGTACCTGGACAAGGATTCAACAAGTGTCAGAGCTGATCCTTTATAATCTGTCGGTAGGTGTTCAAGCTGGAAATCATAAATCTCAGAGTCAAACTAATGCTTAAATTCTTCTGATTGAGCTACTTGAACTGGTTATTTACCTTCAGATTTCCAAGCTCGCTGAGGGAGTCTGTGAAACTTTTCGTCAGAGGTTTAAGCTCGTCATGCTGTTAAGAGATAGACAATGGAACCGAAGTCAGGAAACACCCAACAACTACACGGTTTTCTAAGGTCATCGGCAATGAACAGATTGAACGGACTCTGTGCACTTGTTCTACTTTTGGAAGACATTGTGTTCTATCACCGACCTTGGCTTTCCACATATAAATGCAACTAATGCAACCCTACCATAAAGAGTTTCTCCGTAATTTCGAAATAGGGCTTAGCTAATCTTGTTACTAGAGAATCAAAATGAGCATTAAAACTTGACCCGACTAGGTGTAATCCTTTTGTGGTAATAAGTTGGAGTTAACTCACCGGAAATGCATAAGTCAGGTAGTTGTCGTATGCATGGTAGAACCTGCAAAGAAAGAGAAGCAGGTACGAAACTATCAGCAACAATGCTCCTTTCCGTTTATTCCCTTTCAAATTAATGCTACGTCATTTTGAAATACCACCAAGAAACAAAACAACTGATCAAGTTTTCCTCACAAATTAGAATTTCCGACACCATAACGAGCAAAGTCCAATGGATAATTTGACAGTTATCACAGAGATGTCAAACCAACCGAAGCCCGGTCTTAATACTTTTAAGTCCTCAAATAGTGTCACCTTGAGCAAGAACATTATGACATTCAGTAGAAGCCAAACCATGGATGTGTCCTGTCCTGAGGTGCGATGTGAATTCCAGTTGAGGCTTCAACTACAATTAGGTCAAAGCTGAGAATTACAAGTATTCAGCGAGTTTCTTGAACTAATCTGCCTGAGATTGTTGTTAAATAACTCTCCAACCTCGAACACTACCAAAAAAGGCCAACAATTCTCATGTAGACTAATTATCATGATTTCGAAGAAGCTGATTGATTGGGCATGATAAAGAAGAGCAACGATTCAGACCCAGAAACACCAAAACTAGTCGAAGAACACAGATTTCAAGCCCGAAATATCCAAAACCCACCTAAATAATGCATATTCCGAACCGGGTCAATACCAAAATTGAGAATTGAGTATCAATAAAAGCAAAGAAACGAGAAATTCCAGAAAACAAAATTAACGCAGATCAAAACGCAAAGTATCAAATGGATATCTCACATCTTGCGGACTTTCTCCCGCATCTGTTTCTTCTTGGCTTCGACTTCCGGCGATGAAGATGAAGATGAAGGCTGAAGGAAGGTTGTATACGAAATAACTAACAAGAGCAATATCCATTTCATGGGCTCTCGAGAAAACATGTTTTTGTTCATCTGGGTTCTCGAGTGGGACCAAATGCAAGAAATCAGAGGAGAAAAAAAACGTCAGAGAGAGAGAGAGAGAGAGAGAGAGATGACGTGATAATTGGCTGTATGAACCAATCAGATGGTCATGACAAAAAAAATGTCCTTTAAGAAAATTGATCGACCGTCGTTATTACTGCTACGTCGTTTTGCTAACAATGGCGAGAGTTAAAACATTGCGATGAGATCAATATTTGGATTTTGTACTTTGGTTGTTTTGTACGGACAAAGTAAGTTTGGCTAAACATGACAATGATGATACGCAAAATGATTTATAACTGATACTCAAACTCTTCAATTTGATTCATTTGTAATTGGCTGTATGAACCAATCAGATGGTCATGACAAAAAAAATGTCCTTTAAGAAAATTGATCGACCGTCGTTATTACTGCTACGTCGTTTTGCTAACAATGGCGAGAGTTAAAACATTGCGATGAGATCAATATTTGGATTTTGTACTTTGGTTGTTTTGTACGGACAAAGTAAGTTTGGCTAAACATGACAATGATGATACGCAAAATGATTTATAACTGATACTCAAACTCTTCAATTTGATTCATTTGATTAAATTTTATATGTAAAGAAATTTTAAGTTTCTTTTTATAATTATACTTAAAATATATGGAATCGCACCATATGATACATTTCAAAACAAAAAATCCTGTAAATACATAAATTTTAAAAAAATACATATATATAAAAATAAATAAATTTAAAAATACTAAATAAGTACATCAATTCTTTTAAAAATATAAAATTCTTCATTACCGTTAAATTTGTTGCAATCATAAGACATCAATACATTGACACACTGTCAAACCATTAAAATGTCATTAATAAGAAATTTCGAAAAAAAAAATCGGTTCAATTTGATTTTTCTAATATTTTTTTTAGAAATTTATGTATTTATATAAATTTTTTGCATAGGAATTCGATTATATGAAATCTTTTTTTGGTTTTGGGAATTCATTAATTTATGAATAGTTATGAATTCAAAGCTTAATACTTCCGGGACAAAAAAATAAATGGTTACTTGGATTTTGAAACATAAAAAATGTTAGAAATTTATTTTTTAAATAATCACGTATAAATACCTAACCTTCTAACAAACAAATATATGAACTTTTAGTTTAATATAATTAATACCATAAATACTGTTGGTTGTAATCCTCTACGATAATCCGTGATATGACATTTTGATTTTATATTGATTCATTGGTTTATAAATGCATTACTCTTCCCGTTATATGATTGACATGTTTGTTATATTTCGTTATCTTTGAATCATTAGAAAATGATTCTAAACTCCCTGGACAGTTATCATTGAGGGAACAATGATGAATTTAGACTAGCATGAGGTGTGATCGATGCATTGGATGCATATCACGATCATAGGTACTCGTTGTGAACGAATGACTGGATGACCCGCATGAGATTGTCACATGGACAGAGTCATGACTTGAATCTCATACAGCGGTTCGTTCTTGGATCCTCATACCTGAGATGTCTAGAGTATCTGATATGAGGAGTGGCGTGTCTTGACTGCATCAAACGTCATCTTTAACATGATGATTATAACGGCGTTGATCAGATACATTCGCGAATCATATGGAGATAGTAGACATGCAATACGGGATTTATCACCTCCTTAACAAGAGAGATATCGGTTGACCCTCTCGTGGAAGTCGGACTATGAAAAATACGTGACCACGCTATAGATGCAGTTGCATCTATTTTATTAGTCGATTTGCCAAGACGAGAAAGCAGTTGAACTTAAAGGGTGGCTCAAACCATGCCCTTGTTCAACATATGATATCGTGAGACAAAGGATCAAAACTCGAGTTGTTGCTGCCTTGATTAGATCACCTCTAACTCAATTCAACGTGGGTGGTCATGGCGTCTTGCTAGAGACTAACCATGACTTATAGATCGAGAATGGTTCTCGAGGTTGCTGCCACTGCGAATTGGGCCTACAAGGTCACACACCATTAGGGATGGAATTACATGTGAAGTATCAGAAAGGAAGACTTGGATTTGGCCGAACAAACGGTTTTCGGATCAAATCAGAGTGTCGAGAAATGGTCTCAGCCTTCTGACTCGGACCGAGTCAGTTGCATTTAGGTGCACATGCGAGTCGAAGCCCAGAAAATATTTTTGGGTTTGACTGATGTTTTGACTCGGTCGATCGCTCCATAAAAGTCGCATTCCTGGCAATGAACACTTTGTTCTCTGCCGGAATGTAGAAGTAGTAACCCTTAGTTTCCTTAGGGTAGCCTACAAATAAACACTTATCAGATTTGGAGGATAACTTATCAGTCATCTGACGCTTCACGTAAGCGTCGCAACCCCAAATTCTGACAAACGATAACGCGGGACGCTTCCCCGTCCATATCTCATATGGTGTCGTTTCAGCCGACTTCGTTGGACTCCTGTTCAGCAGATACGCAGCGGTCTCTAAAGCATAGCCCCAAAAGGACTTCAGAAGGTCTGTCTGACTCATCATAGACCGAACCATGTCTATCATCCAAAACATAAAGGCCATTAATATGGTAACCTTTACCATAAAATAAGTCACCTTTATAAATGGACAGACATTTGTTCTCAATAACAAATCTAAAACCATCCGAGTCTAAGTATGAAATCGATATAATGTTCTTACTGATAGCAGGAACAAAATAACAATCATGCAACTCCAATACAAGTCCAGAAGGTAAAGTCAGATCATCAGTCCCGCCGGCTAATGCAACAACTTTTGCTCCATTCCCAACGCGGAGATCTACTTCTCCTTTTGCCAATTGTCTACTTCCTCGCAACCCTTGCATATTTACACAAATATGTGAGGCGCTTCCGGTATCTAATACCCATGACGTAGAAGTAAACAAATTGGCCTCTATAACGAAGACACCAGAAGTCGAAGCTTCTTTAAGCTTCTTCTTCTCCTGATCTTCCAGGTAGAGTCTACAATTTCTGTTCCAATGCCCAACGGCATGACAGAAATAACACTCTTCCTTTTTGGACTTAGGCTTAGGTTCAATGACAACGCTTGTCACTTTCCACTTGCCCTTGCTCTTGGAACGCTTCCTTTTGCTGGAACTCTTTCCAACAACTACCATTTCACTCTCACCATGGCTTTCAGCTCTCTTTTTGGAATGATGCATTCTACTGATCAACAATCAAAGAATCGTCCATGTCCTCTAATCGCTTACGCAATTCAGAGATCATGTTTCCAAACGTCAAGCTAGACTTGTCCGGATCATCATCCACATGCTACCAATAAGCATCAATGATCGATCTAGAAGCCATGGTTAGAGTCTTATCCTTCATAAGGATAGATCGCATCGTCAACTTCGGTACAATACCGGTTAACGCTATGTCCTACAGAAAAAGACAAAACAGAACGAAAACACATCTACATGCAGATTCTATCAATGATCTACTACCAGCTAGTCCATCATCAATCAGTGTCAATCTATCTATGATCCACTACCAGCTAGTCCATCATCAAACAATGACAACACAGATGCAAAGATAAGCTATATTCCCATAAAGAAAACTAACCCTACAATAATTTTCCATATGGGACTAAGATCCATATTTCACATAAGAACAAGTTTTTACACTCAGCCTTATGCTATTTAGGTAGACATCTAATGTCAATCATATCCAATATGACTCTTAGATCCTTTATGAGACTATGATATCAAATATCATTGCATACTCGTCTCATCTGTACCATTAAGTCTCAAGTCAAACTTGACAACTTAACCCAAGATAAACCATATTCAAGCTATAGGAACCACGATTTCCTACCCTGCCTCACAAAGATAATCCGGCACGCTCAGCTTTGGCATGACCCGTGTTACGAACGATCGAT